TAAAATTAAAGATGTTTTAAAAAAAAAATAGACAAAAAAAATTTTTTTTTAAATATTTTATTTCGTTTAATTTGATTAGTTGACCTGAATTTTATCAAGTCAGATCATAAGCTTGACCTGACCTGATGTTAACCTGAAAATTTGTCTACCTGACCTGGATTTTTCAGGTTGGGTCAGATCGGATCACAAGTTGACCTGACCTGATTCAGAGCTCTATTTTGATTTGATTGTTTTTAATTCAAACTAAAAATTTGGATACAGAAACTTGTAAAAATAAATTGATGATGTTGAATCAATATCAAATTAATATTGCTACTATAATCTGATATCATAATGAAAAACTGAAGACTAAACATTGATGTTATAATCACAGGCTAAGTATTGAGCTTAATAGTTAAACACTGAGGCTAATATGAATTTTTGTTTTATATATTTGCTTGTATTTTGAAGATAGTTTGTTCATCATCTAATAATTTTTAAGATGATATTTCACATTATTTCTCTTTTGATTTAAAGAAAGAATGTCTGTTAAGAAATCTATTACTATAAAAAATTAATTAAATTTTAAAATTATTATAATACATCAATCATTAACAAATTATTAAATAATGATTATATAACACATTTCACGTGATAAAATTTTTTAGTGTTCTGTATCTTGTTATGTATTATTATTTTTTAATAATATTTCATCTAAACAAAAAAAGCAAAAAATGAAATTTTTCAAGTTGGAATTCAATAATACAAAAGAAAAAAGGTTATCTTTTCATGTTATATTTATCAATTAAATAACAGATGAAATATTTTTAGTCTTGTAATAATACAAAAAAACTAAATGTTGCTATTACATGAGCAAACAAAGTAATGATATATCACAAGATATCTTTAGATCTTAAAAACAGTGATTATAATAATACAAAAATAACAAAATGTTGACATTTCACAAAGTTTTTTTTATCTTTTTAAACAATAACGAAGGGATGCAATTACATGAGAATATCTAGTCTTTGTATAATGGAAATAATAATGCAAAAGAAGCAAAAGAACGAAGGGATGACTTTGTATTAGATATTGATCAGTTTTTTATAATAATTTTATTGTATTATTAAAAGTTCTCTAATAAAAATAAAAGATATAAATATATGTAATTTACGCTCACAAATCTTTCATTTTTCACAATATATCATCAATAAAATCATGAACATAAATCTTCCCTTTAAAATTTTCGTCTCTTACATCTTTTATTTTTCAATTTTTTTCTTGTCATTTTATCTGTTATTTTAATTACTTTTAATTCATTTTTCTTTTTTAATTGCCTTTAAATTTGTGGATTTTTTTTACCTTTATTTTTTCATTTTTTTTTCAATATTTTTATTTCATCTCTTTCGTTTCTTCTTTTTTTTTATCGTTCGATTTTTTTTACTTATTTTATTCATTTGCTTTTTAATTTCATTTTTTCATTTTTTTGATTTTTTATTTCACCTCTTTCGTTTTTACCTTTTTTTAACCTATTTTATTTAATTGTTTTTTATTTCATTTTTTCTTTTTTTTTGATTTTTTTATTTCACCTCTTTCGTTTTTTCCATTGCTTCTTGAATGAACAAATGATATACATTAGAATTAATTCATTTACGATGTGACTATCATGACAATTTTGAGTTTGTTCTAAATAAAGATAGGCATCATAATTAAGAAGTTGCAACTCGATAAGTTGCAATTCCTTGTAAATTTATTTTAATATAAAAATTTATAAAATGTTGCAACTCAAAGTATTGCAACTTAAGTTGCAACTAGTTAAAAATTTTAAAAATAACTATAAGAACCATCTTTAGTTCCAAATAATCACCATAAAAGGATATGGAGAACTATATCTAATCAATTGTTTATTAATAGAGAGTTTGTTACTTTTCTCTCTTAATGTTGAAGAAAATAGTACTCATTAAAATATAGGTACAAAAATCTCAAGAGGTTGGAAGCTAAAGAGAATCTTCACGATTAACCAATAATAAACCTAACTCTGCATGATTGAATATTTATGTAGATTTGGATGACAAATTTTGGTTTTGAATCAGTAATTATTTATTGAATAATAATAATAAGAAATATATTTTTTACTTTTTAAAACTTTAATTTTTAATTAATTTATTATTTTTAAATGTAAATCATCATCGGTATAGAAGACAGAATGTAGATTACAGATCTCATTCTCACTAGGATTGTAGATCATATTCTCGTAATTATTCTCAATATCATAGATCCTATTCTCACCATCATTCACAGGATCGTAGATCTCATTTCTGCTGTTATTCTAGGGATTGTAGATCCCATTTTTGAAGATACAGAAGGAAGTTACATTCTTTACAAAGAAGAAAAAGTTTTTCAACAAGACGTCATTAATTTTTAATTTATATTAATTTATTTTTTTTATTTTTTTTTATTTTTATTTTATTTTAATTTTAATTTTTTTAATATTTTTTATTTTAATTTTTTTATTATATTTTTTTTATATATATATTATTTTTTTTTTTTATAATAAATTTTTTTTTAAAAAAATATTTGTAATAGCATTGCAATGCCCAAATAATTACACAATCATTTTCATTTTGATATTTTTTTTTGTTAAATTTGTGAATGTTGATAATAAAATCGAATGTTAAAAATATAGAGCATCATAATACTTTATGAACAAGTATTTCAGACTGTAGCATTATATTATTTGAATTCTGTCAATTTCATAAATTATCAAACTTAAATACGTTTTACATTCTAATAATGGAAAGTCTTATTAGTTTGACTGTATGATTTTTAAAATATATTTGCAAAAACTGTTAGCAACTATAAGAAGTCTCAATTCATATGATCAGACTTTTATAATTAAATGCTTGATGAATTTTGGATTTAATCACGTAATTATTTTATTATAATTATTTTTTTATGATATAATATTGTATATTTACATCATTTATTATATTTTTAGATTGTTTTCGATAAGTTTACATGAAGAGTGATATTGAAACAAAAACTGTTATAGGAAATATCATTTATATAGCAGAAGCTATTGAAAATATCATTTATGAAGCAGAAGTAATGGTAGATTATTCACGCAGCAGAAGTCACAAGAGACATTGTTCATATTTATATTTCATGTTTTTAATTTTTTAACAATAAAAATATCTTGTAATTTTTTGTATTTTTTTTTTATTAGAAAAAATTTTTTTGGTTTGAATATTATTATTTTTTTATTTTATATAAATTTTATGTTATTTCAAATTTTTTAATAATTCTGTATACATTAGTTTTTTATAAAAAATTATAAAAAAATAAATCTATTTTAAAAATAGGAAAAATTTTTTTTATAAAAAAATAAATAAAGTACTATTGGTATCTATTGGTTGATGATGATCATCAAACAAAAAATTTATAAAATATGATAATCTTATTTATAGATTGATAAATATAATAATCAAAATAGAAGAAATTTTAGAATCATAACAAATATAATATTCAAACTCAATTTAGTATCTGCACATTCAAAGTATTCAAATTATAAGAAAAAATTTCAGTTTGCATAATCTATTTATCAAAGATTTTTTCTTATAATATTGTTATTTTTGATATTTTTTATTTTACATAAAATTTATATGTTATTATAAATTTCTTAATAATTCCATATATATTAGTTTTTTAAAAAATTATAAAAAATATATCATTATAAAACATACGGAATTTTGATATAAAATTATTAAATACATATACAAATCTTATAAAAAACATATTATTTACTTATTTAGATTTCTTATAGGGTAGTATTTTAAGATAAAAATATAATTTGTTTATAAAAGAAAATATTTATACAAAGTGTGACTATATAGAATATCAATATTAATATATAATAATTTTAATATAGAAAAATACTATTTAAATTTATTAATTTAATTAGCAAATTATGATAAATTATGATTAATAATAAATCATAAGAATTAAAATAATAATATTATCTAAAATATTAAGAGATAATAAAACTAATTTTTTAAAAAATAAATAATTAATAAAACATATAATAAAATTATTTAAATTTAAAACTTAAAATTGGTTAAATTAATTTGTAATAATAAAAAAATTATTTCATAAGTATATTTAAATTAAAAAAAAATACTTTATTTTATTATTATTATTATTATTTTTAGTAAATAAAATATTTTATAAATTCTACAAAAATTCTATTTAAAAATATTAATGTTAAATTTATAATAATTTTATTAGAATTATTTATAAATAATTTTAATTATATAATAAATAGTATAATTTATAAAAAATACTATTATTAGCGTTAGTATTCAAATTTATTTTCTAAATAATTTTTAGCAATTATTTGGAAGGTTTATTAGGAAAATGGGACTCTGAATATTTTTTATTAAAGTTTTAATTTTTATTGCATTTTAATCTAACTTTATCAAAAATTAAAATGCAATAAAAATTCAAATTTTAATAAAAAAGCTCAGAGTCCCATTTTCCTAGTAAACCTCCCATTTATTTTACAACTTTCCAATAATTTAATCAAATTATTATATATTATTTTAAATAAAATAATTTTTTTTTTATCTTCTAAACCAATCATATTTAAGACATTAGATATTCCTTTTCACGTGATGATTTATGCCACTAATTAACCGTTAGACATTCCGCTGATTTTCTGTTGTTTATTGTTAATAAGTGTAAAATCTACGCGTCTCCAAACGAAAGGTACCTTTTGTCACTTACAAATAAAGTTTTACCAAAATAACGCGAGCTACGCGAATATAAAATTATAGTGACTATACAAGCCACTAAAAGTCATAGAATTGTTAATTATTAAGTATTTAGTATTAACAGTATTATTAGTATTATTGCAAATCCTTATAAAGAACTACAAATAGTAGTTACGATAAACTTTTCAGAAAGTAACTTCGATGGCTCGTGGCCACTACACCACAAGAAGCGCTTCTATGGCTTGTAAAGAGGAAAGACAACGCACGAAATTCTTTACGGAAGGTAAGAAAGTCTGTAAGGTACAATATTTTTGTTCCTTTTAACAAACTTATTTAACCCTTCGACAATATCTAAAGATTTCGTCAAAACAATGACAAAGTCAACTTTTGTCAGTTGGACAGCGGCAAACCCTCCCGCATCAATATTTATCTCTGACTTATCGGTAAATACATGTATCTTTTTATTTTATTTTATTTTATTTGATAAATGATTTTTTTACCGTAATATAGCAAAGGCTTAAAGATAATATGCACGAAAAAGAGAAGAATGAACAATCGGAAGAAAATCATCCCAATAATCCGATTTTTATGACTGAGAGGTGATTTTAATTTATAAATAATATTAAATCATCACATCAACTTTCGATTAATGATGATGTCATTGATAGTGAAGAAATCGAAACAATTAGAAAAACAAGTTTGTTTGCACAAGATGTCACAGAGTCTGAACAAGACATTATAGATAAGCGTGTGGCATTGCAACAACGACAGGTAAACTTATTCAATTGACTTTTACCGACTATCAAAAAAATTAATCAATTTGAACAGTATGCAGAGTTCGAAAGACGTGAAAGAGAACGAAAGTCACAAAAAATTCGAGCTGTATTTGAGTTTGTATCTGACGAAGAAATTGAAGAGGCGCTCAAAGATTGTGAAAATGATGAGGTATTAAAAAGTGATGAATTATAATATAAGGATATCATCGAGAATATAAAATGAATTTTTAAAATTTAGGAAGAAGTTATTGTAAGAATGACACAGCCACGTTATCTGATTGAAATTCGTAAAACAATAGCTGAAAGGAATATGCGTTCTTATCATAGCATGTGTTATTTAATATATTTTCTGAGAAATATTCTTCACGACTTTCATAATTCGAACCTTTATTTATCAACTGTATTTTTTAGTAAATTTGATGACTGATGAACAAAAAGAAGCATACGAACAACTCTTAAAGAAACGAAAAGAAACTTTGAAGAAATGGACAGGAGAAACTGCCAAAAAGTACATATTTAGACCACTCAAATTGGTTTTTGTACTTTGGTTTTTAGTTCCTGCATCCATTTTACATGGATAAACTAACTATTCTTTAGACAATACCGTATGAAAGGTCGTCTTGCATTAGACGATGCTTTGAAACAAGTTCAAGATAACACAAAAGATCTCGAAAAGGCATTTGAGGGTTGGTCAGAAGCTCGCATCAAGGCATATAAAGCAATTGACACAAAACCTAACACTTATTATTATCGGTTCAATGCCCCTGGTGAAGAACAGAAAAAAGGACAATGGACACAGGTATAATTTAACAAGATTTAAGTATAAATCTATATAATCGTATTAATAGAAGTAAAACCTTTTGAAATTCAGGAGGAAGAGGACCTATTTTTCAAACGATTGAAAGAAATTGGTGCAGACGGCCAATGGGGAATATTTTCGATGTCAATCCCAGGTCGCGTTGGTTATCAGGTAATTTATTTATGCACATAATTATTTATGCACATAAAAATTCATATCTTGGTCACGCTTTATATAATTATAACCTTTTTTTTTTCAGTGTTCAAATTTTTATCGATTACTAATAGAAACAGGACGTGTCAAAGACCCTAATTACGTACTAGATGAAAAGGGTAAAGCCCATTTCTTATTCAGCACTAAGAACAAAAAAACCGGTGAAACCGAAAAAACTTTCCGAACACATACTAAGCATGGAAGTGCTTCTCGGAAAAGGACGTCGTCTCAATCTACAAGTAAAACAGCACCTACAAAGAAAAAACGTAAAACTGGCAACAAAAGGCGAGGCTTTACTTCAGATGATGACGACGAAGAAGATGATTTTGATTATGATGATTCAGGAAGTTACATTTTGAAATCATGGAATACAACAAAAAGAACAAGAGCCCAATCATCGTTAGGTAAAGGTCCCCGTAATCATGATACCGAAATGGATGATGATGATGTCGAAGATGACAATCCATTACCTGGATTCATTGATCCAATAACATTAGAAGCGGTGGTTAAACCTGCAATTTCTCCGTATGGACATGTGATGGGGTATGTATTTTCTTTTTGCTTTTTTATTTGGGAAAATTGTCTTTATTTATCACGGTTCGCTTATTTTTTTTTCAGGTATGACAGTTGGGTTCGATGTCTTTCTTCCGAAGCCAAAAAGAACATCTGCCCTTTAACCAAAAAACCCTTGACAAAACGTGAACTTGTGATTTTGACAAAGGACAATATTGATCAATATCGGTTTGTATCTTAATATTTTGGGGAAAATTTATTACTAACTTTCGTCATTAATTTCAAATGATTTTTATAGATCAAAAATAGTAAACCAAGATTGAGAAAAAATGATTTTAATTCATTACAAAATTCATAATTGCTTTTGTCGAGAATTTTTAATGCAATAAATCCAATAAAAAGTACATACCCATGATATCGGGTTTTTTTTTTACAAGTCTAGTTAGATTATTTTTTATGGACAAATGTTTAAAATTTATATCATTACCTTTGCTATGACAGAAGTATGATGGAATTACATATTACATCATTGTTAATCTTTGCCACAAAACTATATAAATATCTGCGTTTTTTTTTTTTTGTTTAAGGATTTTGCTATGTCTATACGTTCGAAAGTAGAATTAAACCAAGCTGAAAAAGATAGCGAAGGAGAACCAAAAAAATTCACTGTAGTTTATAACCATTTTTCTCTAGTTCGGTAAGCTTAATATTCGATAGACAATTGATTTTTAGAAAATTAAAATCATTATTATAAAATTTCCAAATGTTTTATTTAGCAATTTTCATCTTGCAGATGTTATTACAATAGCAAATGGTGCATGTGGCTCTTCTTCAATTTTTTCAAGCATACAATATTTGATCACACGAGATGAAAATTTTCTTTGGATAAGCTTATTATTAATGCCATTAGGAATGGTATTTGATCTTTTTGATGGAAAAGTAGCAAGATGGAGGAGGACCGCTAGTATCTTGGGACAGGAATTGGATTCCTTAGCGGACTTGGTAGGTTATATTCATTTATAAACAATTCTACAAAATTTTTTTATTTATTGTTCGTTCTGCAACGTTGTAGATATCATTTGGTGTTGCTCCGGCAGTATGTGCTTTTGCAGTTGGCATGCGAACATTCTTGGATACGGTTATTTTAATAATTTTCATATCTTGTGGAATCGCACGTCTAGCACGCTATAATGCAACAGTAGCGTCTCTTCCCAAAGATAAATCCGGAAAAATTCACTATTTTGAAGGCACACCAATACCAACGAGCTTGTGTATAATTGCGTTAATTGCTTATCTTGTCAAAAATAAACGTATAGATGAGAATCTACTTGGTGGGGAAATTGGCATCGTTCAAGGCTTTACCTTTCATCCTTTGGTATTATTATATGGATTGAGTGGAATGGGAATGGTTAGTAAAACATTAAAAATACCTAAAATTTAAATAAAACCACCATACCTGTCTGTTTAAATAAAGGATTAGCTTTTTTTGTATTTTATCAAATCGTAAAATATAATTTGAATCTCTGTTTGGATAATGTAAATAAGTGTTCGTTTTCAAAATACATGTTATCTTGACGTTGATTCTATCCACTAAATTTATATTTAAAAATTGATAATTTTATAAATTTATTACAGGGTGAAGGTAGTAATTACACATGATTTTATATGATATCATTGCCGCATGTTTGATTACTCAGACATTCGGCGTACTCTTATCTGCAGATCAATTTTATAATTAAAATATGATGTAATTGAAAAATTTGCCTCATTAGTTAACCGTTAAACTTTTTAACATACTGCTTATACAAATTAAGTAATTAATAGAATGTCATATGATCACCACTTTTAAAAAATATTTTTTTCTTTGCAATTATAAGAAGTTTCATCCTAAAAGCTTCCTTTTTTAAGATCTTAAAAGTTGAAAGAAAATATGATTTTAACAGTAAAATAAATATAATTTTACATGAGAAAAAATAATTTCTTAGGTTGTAAATGTAATTATTCAATAGTTTTTATATAAAATGCAAAAAATTGATTTTTTAATTTAAAAAGCATATTTGTAATCTGTATCATTTTATGTTGATTATTAAATCATGTTACATCACTACTAATTTCATTTTTATTAAGTATTCTGGAAACTTGGAAATTTTTTTGTTATGGAAATCCTAAACATTACATATATCATTTGATCAATTTTAACTTTTTATATATTGTCTGATGGCATAGATTAAAGACATACATTTAAAAATGTTTATTAAATAACATTTAACTAATAATATATATTATATTTAGCAAAAAAAAAAAGTTTTATTAAGGTGAAAAAGGTGAAAAAGAAAATGATTAAGTAAATTTTAGGTTATTCTTAAATTATGTTAAAATTTTTCTAATTTTTAATATAAAGAATAATAAAATTTATATATTTATTGTAAGAAATAATCAAATAATATTTTTAAATATATTTTTAAGTGGTTTTATAACTAAATAATTAGTTGAATAATTGCAAATT